GGCAGTTTCATGTGGGAGGTTGGCGTCCGGCCGCTTGTTCTCACCCCTGTTTTGATGAGTCAGTCCTGGGTCTCTCTCTCTCTCTCTCTCTCTCTCTCTCTCTCTCTCTCTCTCAGCTCCCACCTCTGCCTGCCTCCACTGCTGTCACTGCATATCAGCATTGTGTTACCGCTAAAATCTCACTTCACCATTCCTGACTCTGCTCACCCACTCAGGAGACAGAAACAAAGAGATACAAAGAAACAAAGAAATGAAGAATGAAGACAGAAACAAAGCCAGAAAATATCAACAGTGACCGGATGAACACAGATGAACTAAGATTACAACAAAATAACAAAAAGTTGGTCCAAATGTAAGAGAATGCATTATTTACATCGTGTTTGCTAAAAGAGAATCTACGAAGCTTCACCCTATTTGCGAGGGCCATGCTGTGCGGGACATTCTCCACGTCCAAAAAGCATGGTACATATTGTGCAGGCATATTGGTGTGGAGGAGAAAATGTAATTAACTTTTATTCTACACCAAAATCTCCCTGACAGCAGACAGAGTGAGCACATCACCAAAAGTCTCGGGGGAAATTGGAAGAAAGAAGCAGTTTTCACATAAGATCCAGCACTGAACTGCAGCCATTAAGCTCTCCTTCACTGGCAGGGTGCATATAGAAGGCAGGCAGTAACAGTAGCTGATTGCATCATTAGCTGCTGCCTTTAGTAAATCAGATGCTAATTACACACAGATTGCGACTGCAAATAGAAGGAATGCTCTCTGGCGCTGAGTCTTTGCACATCAATCAACTCATCCGTCCATCAGTCAGCATGATCAAGTCATCAAAGCCCATAACATGAGTTAGTGTGCTGCCTCATTGCCTATATGCTTTATTGGTTGGATAGTTTTATTGAACGTTAGACAGTTATACTTCCTGCAGCTTGGCACCCTGAAGCTCTGCCTATAGAAGACATTTTACACTTAATGTAAGATGTATGGAAGGTCCACGGCATTTCTATTTCAGGCAGTCTGAATGTGCCAACAACAGACAGAGGGGACAGAGCTTCCTTACAGCTGTAGAAATGAGTCCTTTACCTACACTGAGAGTTGGATGAACCATACAGAGCAAACTGCAGAATGATTTGCATGGTGGAGCAACATTATTATTTTTTTTTCAGTCTGAACTTTTGAAATATGGGTCCTAAGAACAAGAACATAACAATAACTAGCAGCCATCGTGCAATGAGATCACACCAGCCACGACGCCATATCGGACCTGGGGCAATTTGGGGAAATATTTTCATTCTTGTCCACCAAATGTTCTTCTATTTTTCTATAATTCGTGTTTCATATACATTTGGAATTTCATAAGCAAAACGTATTCATTATTTTTGTGGTATATGTGGCACTTACTACCATGAGTATTAAATGCATTGTGGAATTGCAATGGAGTTAAGATGACAGGTGCAACATCTTTCCCGGACAGTTGCTTGGCTGTCTCATGTAACCCCATTGCAGCGCTGGTCACATTATCATAACAATGTGTGTTTTAATGGCACCAGCACTGCATGACAGATTTAAACCGTGTCCCTTTCTAACAGTACCCATCATACACAAAAGTGTCTCCACAATGAAGTTTGTTTAATAAGTCGTCCATCCCAGCTAAGATATGGGACGAGTAATGACAGATCTGTTATCTCTTTTGGCCATTAGCCTGAGTGTGTGAGGTTATTAGAGGATGTAATTAACTCCTATTGTACTAGAGACGGGTCATTAGCAAACCAGTCGAAGGCGTGTGTAGCATCGACGCAATTTGGTGGTGACCTACATGGGGTGAGAAGTTAAACGGGCTTTTGTGGTGAGACTGCCAGGCTGTGTCGATGCTGCGTTTACAGCAACGTGTGATCACAAAGCAGCTGTGTTTCTATGATCGACCTACAGAATGCAGTTGAGGTGCATTGTTTCCTCACTTCGTATGCAGATGCAGCATTGGCAAAGACATTCATCACTTTACAGAAATGTTTGTACTGAGAGAACATGCTGCTTTTGTGAGTGACAGATATGGAAAACAATGAAACAAAAAGCCTGTCCAGATCGCATTCTTGTGTGCTTTTATTCAAATCAGCGTCGTTTAAGGATGCTCCTCATTTCTTTCTGTATCCAGAGAACCAACTGTCAGCATGCAGGGAGAGTATCATGAGTGATATTCCTGTTCCTGTACTGGCCTGTCTACTGTGGTTTATGTTTTATACCAGAGAGCGCACTGGGACGTCACCCATTTACTTAAATATTCAGGTTCTTTCATAGAAGGGATATTTGACACTTTGCTGTGTTACAGTAAATCTTAGGGAGGATCTATTTGTTTGTTTCCGTTGTATCTACTGTAGATGATGAATCATTGAAAACCCCATTGAAATCCTTCTGCCGCGTGAATGTAATAAAACCCCAAACATCCTGGCAGATGAGCTGAGGCTGAGTATTTGTACAACAAGCCAATCCTTGTCAAACAGATCC